ATACTCCAAGTCAACCAGGTGACCTCCAGCTAGTAGGTCAACCCCTGAGAATTCAGACGTAACTAAGGTTAATTCCATGACAGTTAAATGGGAACGGTGAAAGTGGATATCCCTCGCGGGCACCACTGGTTGTTGTCAATTCTGATGACAACTCTCGACAAACCCTTACACGGCTGCGTGAGTTCAATTAGAGAGCTTTGATTAGGGTTACATACTTGCTCTGTACTCCCTTCACAGTTAGACACTGCCACGACACCTCACAGCCAACAGAGTCAAATGTCATCTTCAGATCAACAAATACAGCAAGTGGTCACCTAACGAATATATCCTAACTTCTTTCCTTCAAACTCAACCAATGACCTTACAAGGACACTTCAAACCCAGCCATACACCACAGCTTGAAGTATCTGCAAATCTTCAGACTAAAAAAGACCAGAATTATGTGAAACAGTTTATGAAAGGATAGGAAAGATTTGTAGCCATATATGAGGATGAAAATGATTACATATCCTCTGAGCATTGTCAAAAGGCCTGATGTCATGATAAAGAAATTAGCGCTAACACTTAGCCACCGTCATGATGAAACTTAGTTACTATTACTGATAGCACAATGAGTGACATATATCGTAATCTGGGACAAAAAAGCTCAGTCTTACGTTGCAGATGCGGTTAGTCGATTTAAAAGCCTAATATACAAACAGGAAAAAAATATTATAGAGCCAAAATTCATTATTTTATGGGCGCCTATGCAGTAGTTAAACCAACCGATTAAAACTGCAAAAGTTAGAAGACAGTATAAGATATTTCGCTTTATCTCAGGTTACTTTACTCGAAGACACCCATGATAAACATTGCAATGCAGCCTACATCCCTCTGATTTTATAAGGAGCATTATCTGGATTGAATACCAGACTCCGATATTAACATAACATGCGAAATTCAAACCAGAATTTCATACAGTACGTCGGATGAAGTTATCACAGTGCTAAATATTCACAATCGATGGCTGCTACCTTGACGTGGTGGTCGGGCTTGTATATCACAATGACCCAACGAGCTACTCTGGTAGGAACCCTTGTTCACTCAAGGTCCTATCATACCAGAAAGGTCTGTTGCATATTGGTTAGACTAAAAGCAGTCACCGCTGTGGTGTAAATCACTACAATATTATGAGGGTCCGAAGGCGAAGTCGTACTGCTGGTAGCTGGATGGGGTGTGACAGCAGTAAGGTATTTCCCTTGAATGACCGGAAGTGCCATGTTGATACTGCATTCTCAGTGGAAGGGGGGTTGGGGGTTAGAAAGGGTCGACCCCAAAAATAACACACTCCACTGTCTGCCGGGCCGGCCATGTTGGCTCATTTGTCATTTCCTTTCGACCATCCGGCCCCCAAAATACAAAAGTTCAAAATAATCATACTCAAAAGGCTTCGTGTGACAGGCCTCAAGCAGGTGTCCGATGGGCTCTGTGGTCACACAAATCTCTTTCAGGTACCTTAAGAAGAAATAGCCTTCCACGGTGTGGGCAGCTGGAAAGTGTCAACCACCCTCACAACTCTATCAGCACTCAAGTTTCCTCAGACTGCTATCCACCTCCCCCCTCATTACCTTCTAACCTTTCTTCACGTCTCTCAATTAACAGTACTACACCATCTTTAATTTCTCCTAGTTCTGTAGCCTTCGAAAACGATCTGAATCCATAGAACAGCATCTCTGGTCTCCCTAAACTATGCTCCTTATTGCACATTGGGGCTTTCAATGTCTGCACCCTCCGTCAAATTGGTCAACAGGTTTCATTGGCCAAGACTCTAGCAATTCGGGGCATGGATGTGTGCTGTGTTTGTGAGACTCGCATACAGGATCCAAGTGCGGTTATTCACCTGACCTCTCCTAACCAATCTGGTGAACCCGCAAAATTCACCCTTTGAGTTTCTGGAGATTCGATAGCTAGCTTTTGCGGTCTTGGAGGTGTAGGCATAGCATTGAGCACTAGGGTAGGAAGCTCACTGCTAGATTGGATCCCAGTTGGTAGTCGCCTCTACGCTGTCTGGCTGAATGGCTCAGTGAGGACCAAAAAGAATAGCGGAACTCGCTGCTGTCTCTTTGTAATCTCTGCTTACGCACCCACTGATTGCAGTTTGGATGCAGTGAAGGACGAGTTCTACTGAAAACTGTCTAGCCTCCTTTCGAAAGCCAAACGCTCAGATATAATGGTTGTTGCAGGTGATTTTAATGCACAGGTAGGTGGGTAGACTGAGTAAAGCAGAAGGTCACTTAGGTGGCACTTTCGGAATCCGGACTGAACGAACAGATAACGGTGATTGCCTACTACAACTGTCCTTAGATAACCGCTTATTTTTAGTTAGCGAAAATTTCAGACACAAAGAAAGACACTTACTGACGTGGCGTCCACCGAGTTCAACTCAGCGATAGACACAGATAGACCGCATTGCTATCAGTCATCGCTGGAGAGGATCAGTTGAAGACTGTCGCTCCTTCTGGATTATGTGTTTGGATAGCGACCATGCATTGGTTTGAGCGCGTATATGCCTGCGTCTCAATGGACATAGGAAACATTTGGCACCGAAACTATTACGAGTCCAGCTCGAAAACACCAGAGCCGCTTTCAGTAAGAAGTTAGCTCGGCAGTTATATACATATATATATATATATATATATATATATATATATATATATATACATATATATATATATATATATATATATATATATATATATATATATTCCAAACAATAGGATTCGTACGCTTAGCTGATAGCCAACGTAGTACACAAGAGCCACCGACTGCAACCCCGTGGCGAATAGAAAGAAGACCGAAGCTGGCAGATGGGAGAGTTTACTACTCCGACAGTATAATAATCAATCAATCCAAAACACGTGAATATGTATACACATAGAATATGACCTTGTCCGCAATTGGAGAAATTCGCATAGTAGGAGTACAAGTTAACCAACCAGCGAATTACACTACAATGGAAGCAGAAATTATACTAGTCATACTGTAAATGGTGTGAGAATGCCAAGTTAAAAATGTTCAAGTCGACAACAATGTTTGACACAAAACTGGTGCCCTACACACCTTTAACCACCATTGCGTTGACTGCTATCCATTCGAATCCTGAATGGGACATTGAAATAGGCCCCCCAACACTTGTAGGAGTCGAGAAAGCTGTACGTAACTTGAAACGAGGAAGGGCAGCATGACCAGACGGATTACCTGCTGAGGTATACAAGGATGGCGTTAGAGTGCTCTTAGTCACGTTAACGGAAGTGTTAACCAGTATATGGGAATCAAATACGATCCCCTCTGACTGGTCTAAATCACTGATTATCCCAGTCTTCAAGAAGGCGAGAAGTCCTCCTGTGATAACCACAGAGAAATCAGCCTGATAAACATAGTATCCTAAATTCTAGGTTCTATAATTCTTTGATGCTTGAATGGAGATCGGGAACAGCAAGCCGGAGAAAACCAGGCAAGTAGCATTTAGACCCTGCTGCAGGTGTATTGACCAAACATTTACACTGCACCACTTACCTTCGCAGGATAAACCGTGTCGTGGTCACTACATTAGTAGTGTAAACGTTAGGTACTGAGTTTTAGAAAGGACAGGAAATTGATGAGGTTGTGAACCTTCATCTGTTTAGGTGGCTGGCACGTGTTATGCATGTCTAGTCACCGTCTATCAAGTCTCACAATAGCTGTATTTCTTGACCAGAAGGCGGCATTCGACTCCATTGATCGACAAGGCTTATGGTAATGTCATTCACTGAAAGGCGTCCCGAGTAAGTACATCAACTTATTGAAGGCTCTCTACTCGAACACTTGTGGGCGTGTTAGAGCCTACGGTGAGATATTCAGGAGCTACACTCATCGAGTGGTGTCCGTCAACGGTGCCCACTGTCTCCATTCTTATTCGACCATATCATAGATATTCTTATGAATGTCTCCCTTTCGTCACCTGACCACACAGAGGTTGACCTAATCACAGGAGAATTTTCGTTAGACCTGGAATATGTACATAACATAGTCGTGTTAAGTGAAGACGCTGACAAGATGCAGTCTTCTGAACACTTTGAGTGGCAATTTGAGAATGTTTCGGATGCGTTTCTCACCACCCAAATGCAAATGGTTGCTCTAGGATTGGTCTTCAACGGCGCCCCACTGAGGCTAACAATAGATAGTGTAGTGGTTGGATGTGTTGACCACTTGACTTACCTGGAAGTAGGATCAGTCCTGCCCTGGTGGCTCAGTGGCTGATCAATCTCTGCACGGATACAAAACGTTCGGCTGGTTTTTCGCCAACTTACGCCACCGTGATGTCTGATTGTCTATTAAGGGTCGCGTGTAATGCACAGCAGTCCCACTCTGTTCTACTGTATGGCTGTGAAACATGGCCATTGAAGGTGGGAGACATGAGAAGGCTGGCTTCAGGTGTTTGACCACCGTTGCCTTCGTAGTATAGGCCGTATCCCGTGGTCTCACCAGGTGAGTAACACGGAAGTTAGTTGTAGAGTTTTCGGGAGAAGAGGTAAGTCAGTTGACACGGTTGTGACCTTCATCGACTAAGGTGGTTGGGACAAGTATATATATATATATATATATATATATATATATATATATATATATATATATATATATATATATATATATATATATATATATATATATATATATATATAACTTGTTCCTTGCATGCTACTGTAAAGTATGGCAAATTGAACCAATGCGCTTCTGTGAGGTCCCAGGCTAATGTTGTTTGCCTATCTGTCGGTTGGTAAAGCTTCAATCAAACGATTATTTCATTTAGAAACTTTGAGTCCACTAATCCACAACGATGCATCAGTTGTAATTACCTTTCAAATATCATTCATTTTTTGAAAGCTTATTGAAGTGACATACAACCCAGTGTATCTTACTTCGACTCTCAAACTCCGTGTCAAATATACATACTTCCAAGATTGATAATGACAACAAATAAATTAGAGACGTGAAACTATATTTTTGAAATTGTTATTATATTTACAATAAGACGTATTCTCATTAGAAGTTCACTTAGTTTTGGCAGGATGTGAACTTTTCTTATTCTTCTTTGTCTTTGTGGTTTTAATTTTTCTTACTTTATTCTTTTTTGCAATTTGACTTAGTGGGATTCTTTGTTTAGATCGTTTTCTAGAGTAGGAATAGAAATTAATCCATAATATACAGTAAACTTACTCAACCTTCTTTGAAATCTTGCGACTATCTACTGGAGCAGAAAAACGACCCATTGATGCATCAGAACTTTGAGCAATTGAAAAAGCACGTGATAATTCAGTTTTGGACGACTGTGATTCAGTTAAGACCCCGATAGGAGGAGCTAATCGTAAGAATTTAATTAAGGGAATTCACGATCAGATCATATTCCATAAAATCATAGATAAATCTCTGTAAATATGAAGTGGAAAGTCACTGCAGCTATGATCTTAACCATGTATATTAGGTCTGTGATTTATTAGTAAACTCATATTGAAAAGCTGAAAAATTTCCCTCTTTCCACATAAGTAGAAAATAACTCTTCGAATTGTAGTAACGAAGGTAATTAATCAGTGTATTTATCTTTCGATCGGCAGTCCTATTCTGTTTACATTTTCGGGATGCTAGGTGGGATCCTGCTTCCTTAATAGTGTAGCCGAAAGAAATCAACATTACACTGGAAATTTGTTTCTCAATGGTATTGTAACGAGATAGAGATGACCATAGACTTTTAGATTTTGGGAGTAGTCTTATTCTAGCTGACAGAATAGTTATTTTTGAAAAATAATCTGGTTCGGAAAGTATTAAACAGTGACTAACCTTGTCCTGTTTTGACGGTACGGGCAATATTACGAAGACGTTGAAGTTCATTCTTGGCTTGACGCTCCTTTTTGGCCTGTGACAATTTGGCGAACTGGTCCTCATACGGATCTGATGTGATTAAGACAGCTGAAAATATATATTTACCTGCATTATCTGGGACTTCCAATACCCATTTATCTTTTACGTCATCAACCCGATCTTTACCCCATCTTGGTTTCCAAGATTCAGAAACAGGATCCCATACTTTACGTGACTTCTTTTGTTTCTGGATTCCTTTCAAACGAGAAAATCTATCCCACTTCGTAAGCTCTTTGGCTGTCGGTATCTATGAGGAACCATATTAAAACATAAACGAACGAACCTTCTTCTCTCTGGGAAGACGGAAAGTAGGTTTTGGGAGCTGCAAAGAAAAGAAAATAAGAACTGAGATACGTATTTAACAAGGACAAAGTACCTTTTTACAACCTGATGCATAGAACGCTGCCATCAATCAAACTTATTATATGAGGTTGAACGTTCAGAAAACACCACTGACCAAAGCATATTTCTTTCCTTACGAATGAAATTCATTGCAGTTTAGACAAACGCTTAATCAGCTCTTTTCTGCTGTGCAGATGAATGCAGCAACTGCATTCACATGTAGATAAGTTTTGGGAAAGTAAGGTCATAAAAAACAAAATTCAGCACACAGAAAACCGTAGCAGTAACTAGCTCCCAACAACTAGCAACTGACTCGTAAAACAGTTGAAGGAGAATGACGATCCACTGAATAACTACGTTTGAAAAACACTCACTTTTATCTTACTTTCCGGCATTGTTCAAAACAAAAACCTCAATCCACCGCATCTAATGTTCAAGCCAAATAACTGGATCTCAGACCTACGCTACTTAATCAGACTGTAAAAACAATAAGAAAGCTGCCAAACTTCACCCCGATGCAAAATTAGTCCAACACAGGTGAAAAGTAGCAAGATGAAACATGAGGAATGGATACTCTAGTGGTGACCACGGATGACTAGTTTGACCACCTTACAACCCTCAATTATTCACATACAACTGGACCGGGAACAGTGACGGGAACACAGATCACAAAGAACCTAAGGCAGTCGGACCGTTTTCAGAACTGATCGTCTCTGTGTCAACCAGATCTTCGAGGACGGACATACCCACGGACTGATGATAATTGCTAGTTTAATTGACCAGAATGCAGCATTTGAATATATCGACAGATACGTCGTGACAGTATTTCATCAAAACGGTGTTTGGAGGGTATACATATAACAGTGAAGAGAAACGTTGGTTGGTGACGAAATCTCAGCTCGGATGCAAAACACCTGTTCCGCATTCACAAACTTACACCACCTCTAGCACCGGCGACATAAGCAATTAGCTACCTAATAAAGCACGAGTATACTGTGCAACAGTTTGCTCTCCCCTTATGTACACCTGTTATACATAGCTCTCGAAAGTAGAAGATATGAACAGGTTACAGGTTTTAGACCACAGGTGTCTTCAACTCACTGCTCGTCTGTGCTGGAATCATCGTGTGAGCAATGTCGAGGTTAGGCGTAGGGTACTAGACAACGTTGGGAAGTCAGTCAGTCGATGAGGTTGTCAACCTTCACCAACTCACATATGTGTAGTCATGCCCATTCATCACCATCTACGCTGTCACGCAATACTACCTGAAGTCAAGGCTGAAAAGAGGTGACATGCAGTCCGACTACAACGTCTTATCAGTCTATGAAGTCTTTGACTGTCGGTCTGAGCTGAGTAGCGCAATGAAGACATTCTGGTTTCAGTCCGTGTGACAACCAACATCGCTGGTTTGGCGGCGGTTTCAGTGATCCAGATGCACACAAACACAAATTACCTTCGTTCTAGTTGTCATGTCCAATTTCATTATTCATTCATTGTTCTCTTCCTACAACTTTCAACCACATTCGATTGCCTTCTCCCTCATCTCATCTTTCATATTCCTGCCTTCTACCTCTATGTGCTGATGTGATGTGTGCAACCTGAACGCTTACGCAGTAGTGCCAGGCTACACACTGATGCTGAATGATAGACATCAAAGCAGGTGGCAAGATGAGAGATACAAAAATAGGCGAAAAAGCAATCTAAAGTCGTAAGAAGAGAGCAAGAGGCTTGGAAAAAATAAAAAAACTACATCTGCAAGACGCAGTAGAGCTCACTCTGAAGGTTGGCTTTAAGGAGCAACTGGCAGGACATCACTGGTAGTAACATTCAGCAGAAAGTCAGCAGAGACCAGCAAACCTCGCTCAAACTTACCAGTGTGCTAGTACATATTCTGGTCGACACCCAGTAAGGTAAAGAATGGAAGCAGCTTAAATACGGACAGAAAGAAATTAGGCAATAACCTTGAGCATCGGTAGGCAGGGAAAGTCGAAGAGGTAGAAAAGGGGATAAAAGTAAGTAATGTCAGACAGTTGTTTCGACTACCTAGAAGACTGGTGTGAGCAGCGGTGAGTGAAGACATGATGAAGAAGGATGGTCGGTGTTCTACTCACCGGTTTACCAACTAGAAAAATATGTGGACACTTTGAGAGGTAGTCCAACTGATCTCCAGCTATTCTCAGATTCCCCGCTACCCAGCCAGTTCGCCAAACCTTCACGATGTAGCCGACTGCTTGTGGGTCATAATCAATCACTATCAGAAAGATTGGACGGTGGTGGCAAACAATTCGATGTTTGACTGACTCATATGATGGCTCGAGTTTGACGGTTAGACGTAATCCCCACTGACTGATCTCCGTGTTTGATCTCTCCAATATACAAGATAGGGAGTGAATACTCTAGTGGTAACCACGGATGACTAGTTTGACCACCTTACAACCCTCAATTATTTCACATTCAACGAGAATAAAGGACAATACGATCCTGAGGAAATTCTCAAGACAGTAGTTTAGGACAACCACTAACCCTACTCCACGCGTATGCTGCTCATGTTAGCCCCGATATGGGAGTTACGCGGTGGCACAACATGTGCGACCGCGGAAATGTGGCTCATTGTTTTAGGGAGATGACTTTCAATGATTGGGTTCAACCTACCGAGGTTCAGGCAGCCAGGCAGTACCATTGGCACTCGCGCTTAAGATTCAGCCTACCACAGGAATGTGCGCAAGGTATCTGATTGCATTTTATTCATTCATGTGCAACTAGCTACCGAACGTGTATACTGTGCTATTTTTTCAAAAGATTTTTTCCGCTGCCAACAGTTTGTTTTACTGGTCAAAAGTGTTTGCGTAATTTACCTTAAATGGTTATTATTTAGGTAATAAGCAGGTATCGGTAAAGTCTAATGCATCAGTGATGTTGTCCACTAGTACACGTGTAAGGTGATAGTGGATCTGCTTCGGAGACATTATTGGTCGCCATTCCTTTACAATGACAAGCCTCGAAATGTCCATACATGAGTGCGAGGCATGTTTCACACTCATACAGTAGAACTGCGCGACTGGATATCTCCGCGGCGCCATAAATGGCATATGTTGGCGAAGGCCAATTGAGCATCTTGTGCTGGTCTTGACATTTTATCTGTCGCTGATCCATCATCAACATAGAGCTAGGGATTACTGCATAGCGGTGCGAGTTGCCACAGGTTATATCAGTACATCACGTAAAAAAGCATTTAAGTGGAAAGTGAAGAAAAGAAAACTCCGTCGAAAGAAAGTCATACCCTTCTGTTCCGATAACTGCCGAGCTAACTTCTTACTGAAAGCGGCTCTGGTGTTTTCGAGCTGGACTCGTAATAGTTTCGGTGCCAAATGTTTCCTATGTCCATTGAGACGCAGGCATATACGCGCTCAAACCAATGCATGGTCGCTATCCAAACACATAATCCAGAAGGAGCGACAGTCTTCAACTGATCCTCTCCAGCGATGACTGATAGCAATGCGGTCTATCTGTGTCTATCGCTGAGTTGAACTCGGTGGACGCCACGTCAGTAAGTGTCTTTCTTTGTGTCTGAAATTTTCGCTAACTAAAAATAAGCGGTTATCTAAGGACAGTTGTAGTAGGCAATCACCGTTATCTGTTCGTTCAGTCCGGATTCCGAAAGTGCCACCTAAGTGACCTTCTGCTTTACTCAGTCTACCCACCTACCTGTGCATTAAAATCACCTGCAACAACCATTATATCTGAGCGTTTGGCTTTCGAAAGGAGGCTAGACAGTTTTCAGTAGAACTCGTCCTTCACTGCATCCAAACTGCAATCAGTGGGTGCGTAAGCAGAGATTACAAAGAGACAGCAGCGAGTTCCGCTATTCTTTTTGGTCCTCACTGAGCCATTCAGCCAGACAGCGTAGAGGCGACTACCAACTGGGATCCAATCTAGCAGTGAGCTTCCTACCCTAGTGCTCAATGCTATGCCTACACCTCCAAGACCGCAAAAGCTAGCTATCGAATCTCCAGAAACTCAAAGGGTGAATTTTGCGGGTTCACCAGATTGGTTAGGAGAGGTCAGGTGAATAACCGCACTTGGATCCTGTATGCGAGTCTCACAAACACAGCACACATCCATGCCCCGAATTGCTAGAGTCTTGGCCAATGAAACCTGTTGACCAATTTGACGGAGGGTGCAGACATTGAAAGCCCCAATGTGCAATAAGGAGCATAGTTTAGGGAGACCAGAGATGCTGTTCTATGGATTCAGATCGTTTTCGAAGGCTACAGAACTAGGAGAAATTAAAGATGGTGTAGTACTGTTAATTGAGAGACGTGAAGAAAGGTTAGAAGGTAATGAGGGGGGAGGTGGATAGCAGTCTGAGGAAACTTGAGTGCTGATAGAGTTGTGAGGGTGGTTGACACTTTCCAGCTGCCCACACCGTGGAAGGCTATTTCTTCTTAAGGTACCTGAAAGAGATTTGTGTGACCACAGAGCCCATCGGACACCTGCTTGAGGCCTGTCACACGAAGCCTTTTGAGTATGATTATTTTGAACTTTTGTATTTTGGGGGCCGGATGGTCGAAAGGAAATGACAAATGAGCCAACATGGCCGGCCCGGCAGACAGTGGAGTGTGTTATTTTTGGGGTCGACCCTTTCTAACCCCCAACCCCCCTTCCACTGAGAATGCAGTATCAACATGGCACTTCCGGTCATTCAAGGGAAATACCTTACTGCTGTCACACCCCATCCAGCTACCAGCAGTACGACTTCGCCTTCGGACCCTCATAATATTGTAGTGATTTACACCACAGCGGTGACTGCTTTTAGTCTAACCAATATGCAACAGACCTTTCTGGTATGATAGGACCTTGAGTGAACAAGGGTTCCTACCAGAGTAGCTCGTTGGGTCATTGTGATATACAAGCCCGACCACCACGTCAAGGTAGCAGCCATCGATTGTGAATATTTAGCACTGTGATAACTTCATCCGA